TCCCAAAACGAAGGCAAGGGAGACATTACAGCAAATTCGTCTAGGGACTTTTACTCAAACTGTAGGCTGTTGGAAAGCCGGCGTGACAGTTCGAGTGTCGTGGATGACGATATCTACCGTTTGCTGTACAGCATGGTAGGCTGGGGCGTGACTCGAGTGCGCATTGAGTGATAGTCATAGTTGATCTGTACTGATTCTATTACACTCTCTATCCCTCCGTCCACCTGGGCCGGGCGTAATGACACAATCAATAAGACCGGAGGCGGCAGCGGGCGCAGCTACTGACAGGAATAAACTGTCCGTCTATGTGTACCACACACGCCTAGTCAGCGCAGGATGGACCGCAATTCCACACAAACAAGAATGAGGGGCGGTTTGTATCCCAGCTAAGTGGGATAATCATTGGAGCCATATTAAGAAGGAGCCATTGCAGCCTAACTGTCCATCCTAAGAGGAAGACCGACCAATCGGTTCACTTCATAGCCTTCCAAGTCAGGGCTTCTAACGCACCGGAGTAGCTTAAAAGCACGCCCGATTGGTTACAATGAGGATTATGTGCTGAGTGACGTGAAGAAAAAGTCCTGAGGGTCAAGAACAGTCTCTTTTTTCCTCTGGCAAACAGCAGTCCACTGTCCGAGACACTCAGTCATCTGATCTGGGAATTGGGCATAGGTAACTGACGCAACCTGAAGGTGTAACTTAGTGTACCATCACACCTCGCCTACGCGGTAGTGGTCAGGGTTACGCTGTTCAAATAATGCATACCTTAACACGCTCTGACAGCGCTTTTGTCCAGTTAGTTTACCGATTGGGTCTTCTGAAGGAAGGAAGGAACCTCAATACTAGCTAGTATCTTAATTATTGGAGGGTATTTAAGTGCAAAATGCACCAAATGATTAATTTCAAATGTTGTTCTGCTTGTTATGTTTTGTTTCCCAGGTTATTTGTATAGACAAAGTTCCTATAATTCTAAAACTTAAGTTAACTTGAGTAAAATAGTTTCTGTTCTTTTCACCTAAATTGGGGAGTTTTGGTTCATTAATTTAGGTCGGTAACAGAGTGAATATCGATAGCAAAGTTACTGAAGAAAGATAATAGTACGCTAATTAAGATGCCTCATACTCCACAAGCCAAGGGTCCCTAAACGCCTCTTATCTATCCATCTGGCATTCCAGAATGCCCGCTTTCACTAATAAGTTTAATACACTAGTTTCAGGTGCTTACTAGACAAAATAAAGTTTTAGTGACGGTAGCACCTGCCTCCACTTGCATTCTTCTGAACTGACGTCCTTCAAGTGAAAAGAGTGGACCTTTGATTCTCTAACACATCCCTACGGCTCGTTTGGTAACGTATTCAGTTTGTTCTAAGACTGCACGCTTGTCATCACTTTATTCCCCTGAGATTTTATGTACAGACTATCTATCCATTTGTTCGCGTTCGCAGCCAGTGTAAAATTTTATGAAGACGACAATTTTCAATGCAGATAGCGGATGTTGTTATCCTTCGCTAATTCTCTAGCAAGGTCAGCCTACGCCTAGTTATGTTACTCACTCAACTCCAGATCGTAGGTGCAGTTTGAGTCTAACATTCTACATACATAAATCACGAAAATAACTGCACTGCCAATTGAAATTGAAGCTCTAATATTGCGAAATAGTTATCACTGCCCAGGCTCTCAAATTTACTTTTCTGTGGAAAAGTTACTCGTACTTTCACCTCGTTTGGATACTCTCCAGCACACCAACTTCCGATGCTCACGTATATTCTTTCTAAAATTAAGGCATCGTCAGTTGTGTTTTGTCTTTTTCTATTCCAATAATTTCCCTCATAACAATAAAGCAACAACTCAAATTCTGGCTGCTGAAGTGGGGAAGTTGTCTGCCAAAAGTCATAATTATCATTAGTTGCCATCTTTTCTGAACCCTTTTTATTCTGTATGTTTACCCTGGAGTGAGTGTTAGTTATTTTTTTGTCTTCTTCCATTCCAAAACCTTTTCTCTTATCGATAAAGCAAACAGTCAAATTCTAGCTGTTTTAATGGGGACGATATCTGCAAAAAATTCTAAATATCCTTAACCCTATTAATGCACTAAATTTTATTTATTATTTGAGTGCTCGTATACTTTTTGGACATTAAAGGGCTTCGTATGAGCGGCAAGAGCAGGAACTTCTCAAAATATTGTCTTTTCTACAAAATAATTCAGTCTGATTTATGTAGGCGCTTCGTGAGTAGCTCCTTATGTTTCCCGATAGTTAGCAAGGAGGAAACGAGACTCGCAGATGAAATATCATCACAGCCCGATTATGAGTCCCAAAGTGACATACCATTAGTGGCCTATTGATGCTTCCAGTTCTACGCTTTTTCATTTAAGGTTCTGGCACTTTATACCCAGCTTAAATTTGCTTTGTGTGGCACTCTTCGTACCTTGGTGGCGGACGGCCAACAAATGCTGTCCCCTTCCTCGTTTTAATGCCCTAGGCCCCCGAGGCTTGACCTCGCAGCTGCTTCTGGCTAACCGATAACAGCTGGGCCAGTGTCCCCTGTTCTTCGGCAGCCTGACAGCCAAGACAATCACGCTGATAAACAGGCGTTCCGCTAAGCACGGTGCCCTCCCCCACAGTTTAAATCAGCTTAACCACACACACGCACACGCGTGCCCAACTAGTCGCAATTTCTCAAGGGCCACTTCAGCAAGCCACCCCAGGGCCACGCAGCAGAGGGCAT